ATAAATAGATGTACTTGAATGGAAATTCTTTCTTTTATATTATTGCCGGTAATACAGAACTATGAAAATAAAAAGATTTAAAATAATTTAAAAAAATAGAAATAATAATAAAATAATAATTTAATAATTAAATTAAAAATCAATTACATATAATCTATATAATGAAAAAAATATTTAATTAAATTAAAGTTTTAAAAATATAAAGCCAACAATAATTTCATGAAAATAAATAAAATTAAAGTAAACAATATGAAATAATAAATAAATAAATCGTTTTAAAATTAAAAGCTAAAAAAATAAATTAGATCAAATAAACTAAAAAATAAATGAATTTATAAGCCATCATTAATTATAAGGAATTGAATAAGAAAGTTAAATACATCTTCTCTGTGAAAACCTACTCAAAAATCTACGCAACTAAATTTATTCTCCCACAATTCTACGTCAACAGTCTTTAAAGCCGACGCATTTAGATAAAATGAGCACACAGTGTACGAAATTCAATTTCAATAATTATAATTGAAATAATTTACCTGATTTATGCCAAAATATTTATCACTCTGCTTAGGCATGGGCCAAGCCATGGCAGCAACCGCAACCACAGCAACCACGAGCTAGAGCTAGTAAATTTTCAATACATTTAAGCTGCCAAGTTCTGGTAAGATTAACGCCATGTCCCATGTTGCTGCCCAACTGTTAACACTGTTCTGTTCTGGCCATCTAGAACTGCTTTTGACCCATTTACCCAGCAGGCAGCGGCAACGGCAGCAGAAAGGGCAGCAGCTGAGAAAAAAATGTCAACGTGCTGAAAAAGTTTGCACAAAGGCAAACCGAATAACAATAAGAACAACAAACGAACCCTTTTTCCTTTGCCAATGCTATCGTCCTGTCGAATTAACTATAAAGGATTATATTAGCAATATTTTATGTGATTTCTTAACGGCCCTCCACTAAATTTTCTGCGTGCGGGCAGCCAATCGACATGGAACAATGCGACATGTCCCACACAGGCCTCGGCGCCCAGTTCGCCTCGTGTGCCCCAATATACTGATAGCATCTTGCCACAGCCAACAAATGCGACAGTGTGTCAGTTGGCATGTGCGGGTGTGTGCATGGACAGTGTAGATATGTGTGTGTGTGTGGGTGTATCAGAGAAGTCGGACCCCGGTCATTATGGGCATGTAATTTATTTCAGTACTAAGCAGTATTTCTATGGCAAAGGGATTTGTTTTTGCTAAAATATGATTATCCTTGGCGAGAAGCTATGCCCATGGATACTCATTTACGGAAGAACCTTTTGAAGCTTTAGAGTTAATTTACAAAGTATATCTCAAGGGTGTCAATCGTTTGATACGAATTACTAATTGCTTAGTAATATTATAATTAAAAATCTATTTATTATCCATGGCAGGAAGCTTATGGTCCTTGATAATTTTTTACGAAGACTCTATAGGAGCTTTAGCTTGTAATAACAAAAATATATCAAAGTTAATCGTTGAATATATATTTATATTATCTGGTATATTAATACCTGCTTTCTGCTGAAATACACTATTAAATAATATAACAAATCCAATTGTATTTACTATACATCGTATCTGGAGTTGACTACTCATCACTTATTAACATTATTATTATTATTATTATTATTATTCTTTATAAAATTACAGGATATCACATAGTCACCTACAATATTTTAGTTTTTTATTTGGTTACTGTCAATTCGCTCTTTTTATGACATTCGCTAGGTTTTTGACTGAGGCAAGAATCGCTTTTCCTCCCATTTTCTTCATTTTTTCCCACACAGTTGCATTGAAAGTTTTTTTTTATTATTTATTTTCTTTTTTCTTGCCGATGCTAGTGTAGCAAATGGCAACGGACTCATAAGATTTTTCGCTGCTCTTGCACTCTCGCTTTCCCCTTACTCCTCTGTCTCCCTGCATACTCCATCTTTCTCTCTCTCTCTCTCTCTCTCTCTCTGCTGTTCAGTTTTGGCAGCGTGTCATTTTATGTTCATGGCCTGGTCCATTAAATTGGCCATATTTTTGCGCATAAACAAGCGCTGCATAGTTCGCGCGAATCCTTCGTCCCCCGTACACCCACAACTTGTCTGTATTGATCAATGAGCTGGAAGGATTCTAGAACCGACCCTAAGTACATAGTTACAACAACATATCGCACAATGCACAGCTTATACGCGTACATAAAAAGTTGTATAGAAAATTTCGTATAACACAAATTTCATAGCTCAGATTTTCATAGGGAATTTGCTGGAAACTTTAAGAGTTTTCGAACTGTCGATTCTTAGAGCGAAAAAAGTCTAGAAAATAGTTGCAATTGTGAAGATTTGATTGAATAGTTTTAAGTAGTTGAATTTAATTTATTAAATTAAATTATGCTTTATTTATAATAATGTTCAAAATAATTAAAATAGTTCGTTCTGTACATTTTATAATTTCAAATACTTTCCTTAACCTCGTTAAATTTATCTACTTGACAAATGCCCAAGTATTTATCTCTGTTTCAATTCTGCTTACTAATCTCTTAGCTCGGCACTCTCCCTAATTACGCACATCAATTGCTGCTGTCTAGGTAATAAAAGCCCTCATTCAGCATTGTGATTCCCTCTCCCCGCTTTGGCGCCTTTAATCAACTCGTTGCCAGGGTCAATGCAGCCGCTACTTGAACTGCATTTCAATTGCGCCCGCTGCTCTCGATTTGAAGATGTCTGGTTCTTGGTCCGCACTAGAGATTACAGGGTATTGCCCATTGGCCGGGCAATGGGTGCAATGAACGCGTGACGTACGCGGCGCCCATAAAACACGTTCACGTTCCGTTCGTTTGGGTCATAAAACAATTGTTTGGCGTCGCATTTTGCATTTGAAATGCAAATAAATTATTTTTGTCGAACGCACATGGCTTTAGAAGCAAATGAAATTTATGGCCGGACAGCATGGGACAGTCGACGAGGCTAAAGGCGGGATGAAATATCATCATCATCATCATCTATGAGGCAATAGCTGCAACAAACATGACAAACATGTCTCATGAATATTTGCCAGTTGTCGCTGTCGATGTCGATGTTTCGCATGGCATTGCTGTCAAGCTGTTTGTCGATTGTTCTTGTTTCTCTGTTTGTTTGCCTGTTGGTTGGCTGCTCACTGTCTATTTGATGCTCCTGCTGTGCTGTGTGCTGTGTGCTGTGCTGCGGTTGCTTTTGCCTGACAGCCTTCAGCAGATATATTGCAGCCTGCATGCATGCATTTATTAAAAACGGGCAACACTTTTGCCAACCACTACGGTCATACTCTCTGTTGTTCTTTTCCAATATTTGTAGCTACAGTATATATGCTGCCTCAGTATATATGCTCCCTCATAAATCCTGCTTAAATAATGCATGTGCCTGAATTACATTAATATTCACGCTCTCCTTGCTCTCGCTCTGCGTGGCCCCTTGGCTCTGGTTGCATTGTTTCTCGCATTTCTTTCCAATTTACTTGACAATTATTTATGGCACATGACCTGTCAGGGCTGCAACTGCCAGATACGGGTGTCAAATGTGCCAAAAGATATTTATGCACATTAATAAGCAACAGTCAGATTGTTAATTAATGAGCCGTCACGCGCAAATTGCTTAAATATAAAGGAAACAATGAAACTATCGAGGAATTAGGAAAAAGATGATATTCAGGTGCAAGTGCTTAATAATGACAAAAGTATTGAAAAAAAAAAAAAAAACAGAAACTAGTTTGAAAAATAAATTATTATATATCATATATATTTCAAAGTTTATATTATGTTATGTAGTTATGGAAAATTGAATAAAAACAATTATAAATTAAGTATTAACCAAAATGTTCTTCTTTATTAAATATAAAAACTAAAAAAAAATTATATAATGATATATAAATAAATTAAAATTGTAATCTGTTGAATAAGTCTAGTTTAATAATAAAAAAAAAAATTATTTATTGCTCTATAGCCATAATTTTTTATTTCATTTGAGCTGGAAATATTTGAATGACTTTTTTAGATACGTCAATTTAAAATTTAA